CGAAGTCGGCCGCTTAACCGACTGAGCCACCCGGGCGCCCCAAGAACTTCTTTTAAATACAGCTTTTGTCCTGCCTGTTGCAGCCTCGTATTAGATATTGAAGTTTTCCGTATTTCCATATTATTACATGTTCTTCAAAACAGTGATTTTTTTAAATTCCCATATCATATCCTGATGTGTGCCATAATTTAAGTATTTTAGCAGTTTTTCTATTGTTGGACATCTAGACAATTTCTGACGTTTTGTTATTCTAAATAATACTATTGACTATAATTCCCTTTGAGCATTTAACTTTTTTATTGTAAAGGTAATAGTTCCTTGCAAAAAAATCAGAAAATATGAAGAAGAAAATTAAGTTCACTTGGCCTCCCACCATGCTGAGATAATATTCATTGTTAATCTTTTCATCTGTGCCTCTCTGATCATTTTTTAAACTGTACGCTTGTTTATTTATAATTCCTTTTTGAAACGAGCTATTACAACGGCTGTGCTAGGTTTTCCGTGTCTAAGCACCGGCCGCTGTGTGTGCGGAGGCTCCCGGCAAGAACTTGGAGACACCCCATCTGGGTCTGTGTCCTTCCCCCCGTGTCCCTCTCTGCATGAGCTCAGGGAGGTGTCTCTTCTGTAAAAGGGGATCCTCATACAAACGTTGAGAATTGTGAGTTAGAGAAGTGAGTCACTGCAGGTAAAGTGTAGACCAACACCTAGCTGCATAGACCCCGATGTGGTTGCTGTTTCACTCACCTGAGCGTTCAGATCAGTTGATTTTTTTTTTTTTTTTTTTTTTTTTTTTTTTTGTATTTAGTATTGCAGAAACTTGGAAAAACTGTTTGGATGGTGCCACAGACTTTAAAGAGGTAAGTGGTTATTAAAGCTAATGATTCACTGGGCTTGTGGTTTCCAACTGCTTGAAAAAATATTCGTTGCTCTTCCTTTCCTTTTTTTTTTTTTCTTTTTCTTCCCCTGACACTTTCAGTTGATTCCAGAATTCTATGGCGATGATGTCAGCTTTTTAGTTAATAGTCTGAAGTTGGATCTGGGCAAGAGACAAGGAGGGCAGATGGTGGATGACGTTGAACTTCCGCCCTGGGCACGGAGTGAGTACCACCATGCAAGTACTGAATTACAACAGTTCCTCACCCGGCAGTGCCATTTTAGTATTATTATGTATAGTTGCCTGGGTGGTTTTAAATGATGGTGTAATTTTCTATGTAAATGAGGCAATAGCAGTCCTATTCCAAATCAGAAATGGTCTGTGAGTCTAAGATGCAAAAACATTGATATGTATTTGAAAGACCTAAATGTTGTGAACGTGACTTTTGCCACCCCCCGCTTCCCACCAAAATTTATATTTTATGTGATGGGGCGGGGGGGGAAACCTCATTAAGAAATATGTACCTCTTGCCTCTCCTAGAAGCTTTATCTGCATACGGGCAGACAAGAAATGGGAGAAAACAAATGAAGACTGATGTTTTGATCAAGTCTAATCTAATAGGTCCCGAGGACTTTCTCCAGAAGAGCAAAGAGGCGTTGGAAAGCGGTTACGTGTCAGAACACCTTCATGAGTGGATCGATCTAATATTTGGCTACAAGCAAAAAGGCACCGATGCTGTTGGGGCCCATAATGGTACGTGATAGTCTCGGAAAGTTCCTATAGCCTTTGATAAAAGCGAAAGCAAACCCAAAATAAAAAATAAAATAAAAAAAGAAGAGGAAGAAAGAAAAACTGAGGCATTGGTGCAGCAGAAGCATCTGACACCCGCCTCTGGGATCAGAGACTGAGCCACAGAGGGGGAAGGACTTTTGCCTTAAGAACATCAACTTTACCATGATCCCAAGAAGTGTTTTCTACAGCCTTCCAGTTTTAGCATGTACTCTCCATCCCACCCAATAATCTCAAGTAAAACTCAGGATAGACTAGGAGAGCACCCTCCGTTCCCATGAAGGGCCCCAGAGTGTCTTATTAATTGAGCAGAAAGACAGACGCGGGCAGAATTCCACCTCCTCCTCAGCCTGGTTCTTACCGCCTCCAGGTTTCCGGTGTCGCTCATGAGGGTGGCTGAGCTGAAAGTTTGGGGCAGTGCGGGGTGATTTGTGCTGCCCCGGGGCGGGGGGTGGGAGTGGGGGCCTGAAGTGCTGGTGGGGAAACACCCGGAGATAACAGACTGTCTGAGCTGCCGATGAGATTTCTGCTCTGTGAGAGATAATAGCCCAAATTGATATTTATTGCCGTTGGATATTATTAGTCATTTTTGCAAAGTGACCGTCAATTTCTTTGAATAAAAATTTAAAGCTGTTGAGTTTAAAAGAAAAAACAGAACTCTGTACAGCGTGTATATTATCTAAACAGGACCTCTTTCAATAGTGTTTTTCATCTCCTTTTTCAGTATTTCATCCGCTGACCTACGAAGGAGGTGTAGACTTGAACAGGTATTTGTATGTCTGTAAGGAGTTTCTACTTAAGTTACAAAATACCTCTTTATCGGGGCACCCGGGTGGCTCAGTCGATTGAGCGCCTGACTTGATTTCGGCTCAGGTCATGATCCCAGGATCGTGGAAGGAAGCCCCGTGTTGGGCTCTGTGCTCAGCATGGAGCCTGCTTAAGGTTCTCAATCTCTCTTTCTCTCTTACCCCCCCTTCCCCTTCTCCCCCACTTGCACTCTGTCTCTAAAATAAAAAAACAAGTACTTCTTTAAATGATTGCTGCAGCTCTGTGAATGATACTAAGGTACGGAAATTTCACAATGAATAGTATCTTGCATTCACTACTAGGTACATTCCGGAACCTCAGAAAATGATCGAACAACCTGTAATGAGGCTTCAGCAGTCCCGGCACATAGCTGTTGCTCAACAGCAGCTATGTGAGGGTTAACCTCTCGTGTTGACCCGCATCTTTTGACGTTTGTGCTTTCAAGAAACTAACTGGAACCTCGAGGTTCACTGCATTATTTGTGTTCTGTCCTAAAGCATCGAGGACCCTGATGAGAAAGTGGCCATGCTAACCCAAATCTTGGAATTTGGGCAGACGCCAAAACAGCTCTTTGTGACGCCCCATCCTCGACGGATCACCCCAAAGTGTAAAAGTTTCTCCCAGACCTGCGGTCATAATGCTCCCCTAGTGGATTCTCCAGGTACGTTTTGTAAAGGGAATAAACGTGAGCACCTTGTGTTGCTCTTTTCTGAAGAAGATGTTCCGGAAGATTCTGAAGCGTAGCTGAAGCGGGAGCCGTCGCGTTCCCTGGAGGTGGGTGTGTTTGGCCATCTTACTGCAGTTCAGCTGAGAAACGACTCCAACAAGCCTGGTTTTGTCGCTGTTTTGTGTTTGACTACTGACTTCAGAGAAAACCAGGTTACTTTTATTTTCTGGTAGTGTTACGTCACATGAGACTTGGCAGTACTCTGTTAGCATTCTGCTTCTCTTTCTTCTCTGTGGTTTTCCACGCTGCCGTTCGGTCCTTAGCCGCTCACACGTCCGCGTGGACGCGTCCTGGACCTGCCGCTTCACCCGGCTCCTCCCGGCTCTGTCCCAGAAATGACTTCCTCCAGCCCGAGTTCTCCTCCTCCTTCCCCACACACAGGTCTTGAGTTCCAGGTGCTTTATTTTCTTTACTGAATTCTTTTTCCTTATTCAGTCATTTGACGGACATTTCCGGAGTCTCTCTTGTGTGCCAGGCATGTGCTACGTGCTCAAACTGAACTCGACCCTGCCTGTTCTCACATCTAGTGTTTGGAAAAGGAGGAAAGAATACTCCCCTTTATCCCGTTATCCATTTTGTACATGGCACGTAGGACAGCCTCAAACCCACCGGCTCCCAGAAGGAGTCTGACAGGACGTGGAACATGGGGAGCACAGTCACATGATTTCTCCTCCTCTGCGCTTGTGCGTCTGTTCCGGGCACACAAACAGCTGAGTGCTCCCTCCGGCGTGGAGGCGTGGCTCACAGGGGCCCTTGAGCCAGGGCTGGTTGGGAGTTCTCTGAGAGGTCATGTCCCGCGGGGTTAAGTCATAGAGACCATAGGACTGTCTTGTGATGCCGCTTAAACCTGTGCCCTGTTTAGTCAGCAGGCTCATACCACTGTCTTGTGATGATTTGAAAGGGTAATTGTGCCAGCCGCTCATAAAACAGGAGGGATGGCCTCGCTGGTCCCGTCCGGGGGCACTTGTAGCTTTGATCGTATCACTGCTCTTTCTCCCCCTCAAAACCAAAAGGACACCGCAGCATTTTTCGGAAACGGGTTTTTGCAAGATTACTGACAAGGAAGTAGTTACTCAGTCTGTGTTTCCTGAGGTTCCTAAGCTAGGGGCGAGTGAAAACTTTGCAGACGCTGATAAGAGTCTAAAATGACTTCAGTTACCGCATAGGTACTTTTTAGTCTTTCCCCGCAGGATTTTTATCTTACTTAGATTATACATTTTATCATTTTCCCTTGACCAACATGGAGCTGCCTAGCAGGTACATTTCAAAGCAGTTCTATTTCAGTGGGGCATTTTGTTTCCTTGGTCGTTTGATTTTAATAGAAAATATGGTGATTCTGGTATTTGTTGCCTGGGTTGCACGTTAGTAATTGAGTTGACTCACTTAGCAACAATTCAATGTAGTCTCTCCAGGTGAAGAGTCTTTTGAGGACCTGACCGAAGAAAGCAAAACACTGGCCTGGAATAACATCACCAAACTGCAGTTACACGAGCGATATAAAATCCACAAAGAGTAAGAGTGTCTCTGTGCCATCATGGCAGAGGTCGGGGTCTTGGCTTGGGGCCCCAAGTTTTACGTGGAGTCAAGGGGGTGGAAATTCTCTTTCAGTGCTGTCTTGATCGGTTTTTATCCCCCGAAATGTCTGTAGTGATCAGCCATCTGAGGTCAGTGTGGCAAGGGAAACAGAGTTTGGCACAAAATGAATTTATGTCAGCATCCCATGCCCTGGTCTTTCTAGAGCACAGGATGGGGTCTGCAGTCAGCAGGTAGATTTGTGCCTCTCACGCTGGGGCGCACGACCCCTCTCGGCTTTGATGATGCGGAGCCATGGCAGAAGCACAGTGTATCCTCCCCGGATGTTGAATTTTACTGATATTGTAGGAGAGAATGTGTCTTTGTAAAAAAAATTACAACAAATGTGTGTATTGAGAGAGAGAAAGAGATTAAAGTGCTAAGTTCGACAGGAGTTTTCACAATAACACCTATCCTTTCAAAAAATACGGGCCTGCTGTCAGACCCAGAGGGGTTTCGGGCGTTCGGACTTCTGCCGTCAGGTCATTCACGCACTGTGCTGGAAAGGCTTGAGAAGCACTGACGTCCCCTCAGCCATCCTGTCACAGATAAGAAAACGCCAGCTCAGGGGTGAGGCCCGTTGTCCTGTCCCGTGCACACAGACGTCCCCTCCCACAGGCTGATGCCACATACACCACTGGTCATGGGTGGAACTGAATGTGCCACTTACTTGAGACCAGTGGCTTCCTATCAGAGCACAGCCTCCTGAAAAGAAAGCGTCCTGCCTTCCTCATTACAACAGAGGCTTTCCCTTGTCTCAACTTCTCCACGTGATGCACAGAAAGGGGCCTTATCATCCAAGGCAGTGAATACGCAAAGGGTCCTTTAGGAGGAAATGGCGGAACCAGACAAGGGTGTCATCGGTGAACAGATGCTAGGTAAACTCGACTCCGCCACGAAGCGAGCGAGCGAGCGTGAAGAAGAGAGGGGTTCGGTAATGTTGGGAGATGGTCCAGGAGAGTGGACGGAAGGAGAAGCATCCCACTTTTCCAGCTGTCAGGACGGTGTGCGACTTGGAATGTGGCAGCCAGGGAAGCCGGGAGTGGGGATGATTTCTAGCCACGGGCATCGCCCAGACGAAACGAGAGGCTCCCCGGCGATGATCTGGCAGCGGCGGGTGTCACGGGTGGGACGGATCCAGCAGACAGATGTGACGAGGGGAATCCCAGGAGCTTGGTGACATGAAATCAGAGACTCGGAAGAGACTCGCGTCTGGCACACGGTCGATGGTGATTTATCAAAGTCTGTTTTTACACAGGGCGGTTACTGGAATCGCAGTGTCTGGCAACGGCTCGTCCGTCTTCACCACGTCGCAAGGTAGGTCTCCTGCCCGAAAGGTGGTTCGCCCGGAAGCGCGAAGCGTCCAAGCTGCGGAAGTCTGTTAACTCTCGGTCAGGGGCTTGTACTTGAGTGTGCTGCCTCCCCAAAACGTGAATTTTGAGCAGCTGTGGCGTTCAGCACGCAGCTTCCTCGTAGTTTGCCAGAAACAATCACGCAAGTGCCTTTCTGTTGCTGACAAGGTTTCCCGAAACTTAAGGGACAGAAAGCGCTAGTTTCCCATCTGCTTGCTCGGTGGGGCCCTTTCTGCCTCGGGGCTGGCTGAGGTCCTGAGCCCGGGGGCCGGGCGGGGTGCCGCAGTGTCCAGCAGAGGGCGTCCCAGGGCGCGGAGCGTGAAGGGGCGCATTTGCCGCTAAGGTTTTCGTTCTTGCCCCTGGTATATATTTCAGGGTGTTTGATGTCGATTTCAGCTGGAAACCCAGTTCATACACTGTTAATGTTCTTATGTGTTATCAAATTATGTCTTCACTGTCCTTCCTCCCGTACTGTCCTTGTGTTTTACAACTTGCTCTGACAGAGTTAGTAGCTGGCTGTTTTTTGAGGGTACTTCTTCTTTACCGTTTTTCAGAGGAAATCCTATTTTCTGTCGCTGGAGGTCAGCAATGGTGCTAACCAGACACCTCCAGATAAACGAGAGTTGCTACGCTCTGGTTCTGCAGTTGTGGTTTACTGTCTGTAGCACGTCGTTCCTTTCCCTTCCCAGTACAGTCTCAGGTTTCATGAAACAGAATTTTCCACAAAGTATAAAAAACGATTCTACTGTAGGGGCGCGCGGGTGGCCCAGTCGGTTGAGTGTCCGCCTCTTGATTTTGGTTCAGGTCATGACCCCGGGGTCGTGGGCTGGAGCCCCAAGTTGGCCTCCACACTGAGCATGGAGCCTACTTAATAGTCTCTCTCTCTCTCTCTCTCTCTCTCTCTCTCTCTCTCTTCCTCTGTCCCTCTCCTCTACTCATGCGCTCGCTCTAAAATAGAATAAAAATAAATTTAAAAACATAAAGTGATCGTACTGTAGACCAAAGGGAGTGAACATGCAGGACACGCACTGGGCCCTGTTGGGGTCACGGAGGTGTTGCTCCCGTAGAAGGAAGCCATCTGTGTTTTGCCAGGATCCTGCCCGCTGAATGTGCCAGCATTATAACACAAGACAAAATGCTTCAATCAGAGCCTGTGTTTCTTAGCCAGATTTGTCTGACATGGTTTGTTAAATCCTTTAGTCCATTGTACTTGTATGACCTTGTAAAACCCTGAGTCTTAGGAGTGTCAAGGCTTTGCAACTCTGAGGCTTTTATTAAGCATTGTGTCGCTTCTTTGCGAATTTGACAAATAAAGGAGAAAGAGGTTTCTTTTAAGTCAGAAGCATTGGTTTTTTTCTGGTTTCTTTCTTCTGTTGATAAAACTTGTATTACTGATTTATACATATCGAGATCACCACCCCAAAGTGACCTTTCTTCCTCCCGTACGTGGTAGATGCGTTTAGTGATGTGAGCATTCGGCGGGGACCCCTCACCTGTGAGCCTGGCTCTTATAGCCGCCTTTGACAGGATCACCCCCAGCACACGCAGGGAACCTTTGGTTTTGAGAACAGCATCCTTATCCCCCAGGCTGGCTTATGGCTTTCTATAGGATGCCCCAAATTAGTGAGCTTTCGTAGACCCTGGGGTGAATACTCAAAAATGCTCAATAAGAGGGGCAGTCTTTAGAATCAGAAGCACTGTTGGAAAGTCTCAGAAGTAATTATGCCCCACAGGGTGAAGTTCAGGTAATGTGCTCACTCTTCTGGCTTTGTTTCCAAGCTAATCCTGGAGAATTTTCAGTTTTACAAAGTCTCAGGGCTCGTGTGTGTTGATGTTGCAAAAATTAGGTTGAGAGGTTACCTTTTACTGTACAGAAGAAATTGCCTAAAACTCATTCGGGCCTTTTATTTATCGCGTTATATGTTTACAGATTAGGAAATGAGTTGTTACATGTTTCGAACATGGGGCGTTTGGAGCTCATTGTAAGTTTTGTGAATCTTGGTTTTTAAAGAAATTGTTTTGCTACACCTTTGTTAGGCAAGGACATTATAATCCCTACTTTATTATCGTTTAGAAAGTCGAGTGGTTCTTCCATAAACGCTAATTCAAGGGTATCACACTCTAACTGGGCTGTTTAAAAAGAAAAAAAAAAAAAAACAAAACAGATATTGGCAAGATTTTTGTTTTCATTAATTCAAAATTGCTGTTTTACTTCTCTTTAACTTTTAACTCCTGTCAGTGACTGGGCCAGCTCTGTGTTCAGTCATGCTGAAATGTCAGCAGTGTGCTGGGCCCCTACTGGTATGTTAATTTCCTCGTCCAGGGGTTACAGGTCGCCAGTGCTGTTGCCCAGATGGGCCGCAGATCAGCCCCCCACCTGCCACCCAGCTCTCTGTAAGAGTGTGCCACTGCCTGCTGGCCTCTGGCTGTTCTTTGTCCTCTGTAAGGGTCAGGAAATCTTTCTCACATGTCTGCCTTCTCGTTATTAAATTAGACTCCACCCTGAAGATGTTTTCTAAGGAATCCAAAATGCTACAAAGAAGTATATCATTTTCAAATATGGTGAGTTCATTTTACTTTTAAGTCAGCGTCACCATGGAAATTCACGTAGCAATTTGTTTTCAACACACGTATAATGGCATTTCATTTCTCCCCCAGACAGTTGGGTTTATTCCTGTGTAGGTGTGCACAGAATGCCTGAGTTAGATTAGTTCTAAGTTCAATTTCAACTTTTTTCAGGGTACCTCTTTCTCATAATACCGTGTTTTCATTTGTAGCCTAGAAAACTTGAAGTACTACTCAGTAGAATTCTCTACTTAATCTGTGCTTTTCTGGAACTATCTGTTACTGTAGTTTATAAATAACTTGTGTTTCTGAGTTGATAGGACACCTAATACTAGAAAACCAGTTCTTCCGAAAAAGACACACTTTATTATTCATGTAAACCATCCGAAAGGTTTTGAAACTCCCTAAAGAATTTTTGAAGTCCTCCCTACGCATGGGAAGTGTATGATCCAGAGAGGATTCTTGAGGATAAATAAAGCCCCCACCTCTGCCCACCCCACGATTCACCTGTGTTAGGAGTTTCTCTAGCCCAGGGCCACGAGAGCCATCCAGAGCCCCTGAAAATCCTCAGGCTAGACCCGTGCGCACTGCACACACTTTGACCTCCTTTCTTACGTTTGGGAGGAAACTAAGCCTCTGGAATTGGCCGGTTGAAAAAAAAAAAACTCCCTGAATATGAGGAAGGCCAAAATAAGCAGAACGTGAGCATTAATTTGGCAGGGGAGGGCTCCCAAGATAGTTTCACCATGTTCGGGATCTGCTGATTATCGTAAACCATTAATGTCAAACCATTTGTATTTCAGGCTTTATCATCTTGTTTGCTTTTGCCAGGAGATGCCACGGTCATCAGTTCTTCATGGGACAACAATGTGTATGTATCTGCGCGGGCTGCTCGTGTAATCCCTCAAGTGGCCCCGCTGTCTTTGCGGACGAAAGGCAGGAAGGGCCAGGTCTTCCGCTGGGGAGACACTGCGCTATTGTCACATACTACAGAAGGGTAGTGCTGATGGCTTTGACTCCGCATTTGAATCTAACAAGTTCTCCAACTGGACTCTGTTTTCCTCTGTGTGTTAAATGGAGGTGAAAACACAGATGAGCCAGACCTGGAGATTTCTAGCTTTAAATTCAGATTTTGAGTATTTTGGCCTGGTAACAGGAGAACAAGTAAATTTGTAATTCTAGTGGGTCTAAGTAGAGGACTAAAACGATATATTCCTTGAATATGTGTTTAAGGGTCTTAAAATTAAGCTGGAATGCTTTTTAATAGTTCTCATTATCTTGTCTGTTAGCTATTTTTATTCTATAGCATTTGGAAGACGCCAGGACACGTTAATGGGACACGACGATGCCGTTAGTAAGATCTGTTGGCATGACAACCGGCTGTATTCCGCATCGTGGGACTCCACAGTGAAGGTCTGCATAGAATTTCTAGCTTAAAATGTTAGGATAATACAAGTATTATAAACCATTCTGCTGTCTGTTCATGTGTTCAGTCACTTCACTATTTTTCACAAAGTGTATAAGTGATACATAAAGATCCTGAATGTTAATGCCTGTTTTTTTTTGTTTGTTTTTTTTTAATATTTACGTTTGAGGGAGAGAGAGAGCAAGCATGAGCAGGGGACGGGTAGAGAGAGGGGAGACTGAGGATCCAAAGAGGGCTCTGCACTGCTAGCAGAGAGCCCAACGCGGGGCTCAAACTCACGAACTGTGAGATCATGACCTGTGCCAAAGTCGGAAGCTGGATGGACTGAGCCACCCAGGCGCCCCTGCCTGTGTTTGTTTAATGTGTGCACCTCTTAATAGGAAGTCTTCATGACTTTTGTACTGTGCGCTCAACCAGGGCGTTAAATGAGGTGGAACAGTTGGACCCCTGAATCACACAGGTTTGAACTGCTCAGGTCCACTTATACGTGGATTTTTGTTGGTAAATTCATACACTACTGTAAATCTATTTTATGATTTTCTTACCATTTTATGTTCTGTAGCTTATTGTAAGATTACAGTCTGTAATACATATAAGATGCAGACTAGGTTAGTCAGCTGTTTATGTTGTCAGTAAGACTTCCGGTCAACAGTAGGCAATCAGTACAGTAGTTAAGTTTGGGGAGAGTCAAAGTTATAAGTAGATTTTCAAGTGCATGGCGTTGGGGGGGGG